GAACCTCCACTAACAGAGTTTTAGCTGCAGTCATTCAGATGTCCCAAGGCTGCTGTAACACAGAAAACTCCTGATTTCAGTTAACATCCTGAAACTTGGCCATAAAAAAGTCATCAGGATCACGCTGACCAAAGAGTTTCCTTATACGTGTCCCCATTCTCTCAAACAATCCTGATTTTCTGAAGTAGAACGTTTGGTCTAACTTCCGTGTCATGGCGGGATCATTGTTGTTCTTAGCTAAGAAATCTTTGGTTTTGATCAGTTGCCTTTGAAATCGTTTTATCTGTAATAAAAAGAAATCAAACTGAAAACATTTTGCAAAAAGTAATTGAGAATCTTTTTTAAGCTGAACGACAAACACAAAACATGAAGACAAGTACGTAATGCTAAAGCAGGATGCTTCTGGAATATTATACTAGCATATAGTTAGCATTTACTTACATTGAAAATGACTTCCTCGCTGTCTTGTAGAATTCGGAGGTATCTCTCAGCTGCTTTGTCTTTACCTAATGAAAAAAAAAAAACCGTGATTGGAGCAATTCAGACTAACAAATTTCTAAAACAGGGATAACTTGAACAGTTTAGCTATCCATGCTCAAAGAGCAATATAAGATATAGTAACAAGAGGCCCATGGGCCACATCGCTCACCTGAGAAGCTTTGACCATTTTGTTCTTTACCAGATTTCCACCCTGTAATACATATTGCGACCCTACCCAACCCCACTGATCATAATTTAGACATTTTAAAATATACACTACCCTAGAATGCTTCCATGTGCACATACGTTTCAGCTTTTCTTGCCCAGTGGTTCTTGAGAAGAAGATTTTCAAAGATTTTTCCTAAATATTTCTATGTAAAACTTTGATTCCCCATTGTGGCCCCGCCCTATCCCCGGGGGTCATGATTTGTACAATTTAAAATCTACACTACCCAAGGATGCTTCCACATAAGTTTCAGCTTTTCTGGACCAAAGGTTCTTGAGAAGAAGATTTTCAAAGATTTTTCCTATATATTTTTATGTAAAACTTTAATTCCCCATTGTGGCCCCGCCCTACCCCTGGGGGTCATGATTTGAACAATTTAAAATCTAAACTACCCCAGGATGCTTCCACATAAGTTTTAGCTTTTCTGGACCAGTGGTTCTTGAGAAGAAGATTTTCACAGATTTTTCCTATATATTTCTATGTAACATTTGATTCCCCATTGTGGACCCGCCCTACCCTCAGAGGTCATGATTTCAATAATTTAAAATCTACACTACTCCAGGATGCTTCCACATAAGTTTCAGCTTTTATGGACCAGTGGTTCTTGAGAAGAAGATATTCACAGATTTTTCCTATATATTTCTATGTAACATTTGATTCCCCATTGTGGACCCACCCAACCCTCAGAGGTCATGATTTCAATAATTTAAAATCTACACTACTCCAGGATGCTTCCACATAAGTTTCAGCTTTTCTGGACCAGTAGTTCTTGAGAAGAAGATTTTCACAGATTTTTCCTATATATTTCTATGTAAAACTTTGATTCCCCATTGTGGCCCTGCCTTACCCCCAGAGGTCATGAGTTGTACAATTTAGAATCTACACTACCCCAGGATGCTTCCATATAAGTTTCAGCTTTTCTGGACCAGTGGTTCTTAAGAAGATTTTTCCTACATATTTCTATGTACAACTTTGATTCCCCATTGTGGCCCCGCCTTACCCCCGGGGATCATGAGTTGAACAATTTAGAATATATTTTTACACTAACCCACATAAGTTTTATCTTTTCTGGAGTGGTTCTTGAGAAGAAGATGCTTTTTGATTCCCCCAGGAGGTCATGATTTAAAAAATTTAAAATCATAAGTTTAAGCTTTTTTTCTGGACCCAGTGGTTCTTGAGAAGAAGATTTTCAAAGATTTTTCCTATATATTTCTATGTAAAACTTTGATTCCCCATTGTGGCCCCGCCCTACCCCTGGGGTCATGATTTAAACAATTTAAAATCTAAACTATCCCAGGATGCTTCCATATAAGTTTCAGTTTTTCTGGCCCAGTGGTTCTTGAGAAGAAAATTTTTTAATGACCCCCACCCTATTTTTGCCTTTTCTTGATTATATCCCCTTGTAAGGGACTTGGCCCTTCGTTTTAACAATTTAAATTCCCCCTTCACGCAAGGATGCATTGTGCCAAGTTTGGTCAAAATTGGCCCAGTGGTTCTTGAGAAGAAATATGAAAAGTTTACAGATGGACAGACGGACGGGCGACGGACAAAATGTGATCAGAAAAGCTCACTTGAGCCTTCGGCTCAGGTGAGCTAAAAACGCAAAAAGAATTTATTTTCAGCCATAAACTAATACTCAGAGAGAAAAAACTGGAATTCTGGCGATTTTAAAGAACTCTACATTAACTCAAAAGTCCTCTTACGATTTGGTCCAAACCAGAAAGAAACCATATAAACTTGGTTTTAAAAGACATAAATGACAAAATAACTTACCACTTTTGGTTAGATACAGAATATGCTGTGTCCACATTCTTTGAAGTGTATGTAAATCTGTCTCTGTAATCATATTCTTTTTCAAACCTTCCATGAACAGATAGGCAAATATGATGTACTTCTTCTGTTCTTCTGATAAACAAAAAGACATTTTTTAATAATATATATAATTGCGATACAGACAATCAACTTTATCAATCAGAAGAAAAAAAGTTAAATATCTTACCGGCAATGTCTTTCCTGTTTGAAAATGAAAATCCACCATCTTTACTCGCAGTTTCTTTTCCGTAGAGGAAAATTAAAATTTGTAGAATCTGCTGTCTCTGGAATAATGAATAATGATAATAGGTATTCGGGTATTTGCTTACAAATTTCATTACATGTAACATCAATTTACGTTGTATGTATGCTGTAAATTAGTTTATGAATTTATTTCTTAAGCTTTGCTCAAAATCACATAACAATCAGATTTTTTAAAATGATGCTTACAACTGGGGTCATGGTCCGTGTGTTTGTCTTTGATAAATACTGAAGCAGGCTTGTCCTTAGACGCTGTTCCATAGTTTTACTTCCCAATTTCTCCATCATAGCAAACGAAATATGTATCACAGATTTACAACGTGTGTTATTTTCTTGCTGAACGACGAAAAATGGTTCGCAACTATTATGACGTCAGTGTACTATGATGTGGTTTCATTGTGACGTCATTAATGCAAGTAAAATTGAATACGGTCTTCGATACGGAAAAATGTAAAATGTATGATTCAAGCAGATTTTTCACCTGAACATATTTACGTCGTCTTGACTTTTGAAAACAGTACATGTATTAATAAATACCAATTGCAAGAAAAAGTATTACAACTATAACGATAATATAGTATATTATTGCCTGACGCCACGGCGTCAGACACTACTAAGGATCAAGATTTCCTAGGTGCGAAGCTAAGAGGGCACAGTTAGCCGAAAAAAAATTTGTGCATGCTGATTATCATTGGATTTTGTTACCTGCGTTTCAACACAACAGTTAGCAGAAATTAAAATAATCATATTACTTATATAATATATTGGTGTATTTATTTCCTTTAGTTTTTTGGCACGCAGCTATTTATTTCATGCGAGTTCCTATACGGACATGCGCGTTTGACCTATTTTTCTGCATTTCCACACTAATTAGTACTGGCCAGATTAATCCATTTTTCTTCTAGGTAATGGAATTTCGCGCCAAAAGATCACGTGTAAGTTTTTGCGCCCTTTTCCTGGACTATTCTATTGAATGGAAAGGTAAGCTGCATGAATAATGTAAAGTCTGTTCTTTTTTTTTGTCGGAATCTTGATCGAGCTTTGAAAAAAGCATATCGGTGATATTGTGAAGTGAATTAGAAGTTACATCATTTTAAAGTGATAAAAACGAAACGAACAAAGACTTTTTAAGAGGATTACATTTGATCATACCCACCCCACCCCCAGGATTGAGGAAGTTTATTATTTTTTAATCGTAAAATATTTTGATGTGGACCTTTTTTACGAGATTTTTCTCTCACCGTCAAGTTTGTTTTTCATGCACATTTCAAAAATTTCATTAATTTTTTTTGCAAAGATAGACATAATATATGCATTTAAAATTAGGGTTTACCTTATTTTTGTTGACGTATAGCCCCCCTCTGCCCCACTTTCAATTAGCCCCCCCCCTTTCAATTTTCTTCTGATTGCCTATAAAGTTATGGCCAAAGTTATTTTTGAAGGTATGTCAAACTCCAAGGCCAAGATTAAAGAGTCTAAATCAATGATGTACTTCGGGAAACGACTTGCTACAAGAATTATACATGTAAAACATAAAATTTCTCGCATCAACTGCACAAAACTTTGAATAGGGTTAAAATTTGATATTTTTTTTTTGTTGCAAAAGGGGTCAAACTCGACTTAAAGGTCAAGAGTCAAATATTTTCATACCCAAAGAAATGTCTTGTCAGAAGGAATAAGTACGTGAAATTAAAAACCATACATTTAACTAATAAAAAAACTATGAAGATTATTTTTTTAAGATGGACAGGGTAAAAAATATGAAATCCCAAGTACCAAACATTGTCAGAAGAAATACACCTGCAAAATGAAGTTTGAAAGCCCTAGCATTAACTGTTCAAATGTCATGGTCAAGGTTAAGATTCGGTAAAGTTTTGCAAAAGTAGGTCAAACTCTAAGGTAAAAAGGTTAAGAGGTCAAATATGGTGGTACTGAAAGAAAGATATATATTGTCACAAGAAATAAACATGCGAAATATGAAATCTATAGCTCCCACGAATCAAAAGTAATCGGGTATTCATTGTACGTTTGAGCTTTTGGGAAGAGAGTCCAAAAAACAAAAAAAACTTAATCTAAACAGACAGGTAGACGGATGGTCAGGGCAAAAATCATACCCACGTAATCGAAGACACGGGGCATAAAATAAAAAGTTTTGCGGGGAAGTTTCATAAAAATTACAAATTCAAATAGTTTTCTAAGTTGCTTATAATATATTTTTTACTTGCTCCGTGTTTCTCCATGAAAAAATCCATATACTGCTTGAAGGTACCATGGAAGTCAATTTTCTCAACGGTATGATGGTAAAACGACACTGCCACGTCTTTTGGATTGCGCTGGACAAAAACAACCTTACAACGTTTCTGTAACATTTGTTTTGGAAGACTACTGGGGCAAAAATGTGTGTTAAACACCCGAGGTGAGGCAATGCACTCTAGCACTTCCGGAGTGTGGAATTCCAGCATGTAGCTTTCCTTTTCTTTAAGGTGGTATTCGGCATTTTGTTGTAGAAGCATATTCATAATTTCCCATGTCCAGTGAGTACCTTCCATAGATAAAAAGGTATACATGTATATTAATTACCTTACTGACATTTAATAAATTCTTTGATTAAATCAGTTTGGCTTCGAGTAATACTGTATACTGTATATGTATCATCTTTATATTTCCAATTACATTAAAATACTGGTTTGGTGGCTCGTGATGAAGTAACTTTACCTTTTAATTTTTCAAAATATTTTATTGGCCATCCACAACAATTCGCCATTAATCCTGCAGTTACCATTTGACATTTAAAATATCATACCAAGTTTTAGGATAACTATTTTCTATATGTTTACCTGCCTTAGGATAAGCACACAAGAAAAAGTCGTCCGAACTGACGTTCATTTCTTTAAGTCTTGGAAAATTGGTCTTTGGGTTTGGATACTTCCCCTTTTGAACACTCTTTGCATTAAGGCACAGTCCTCCAGATTCTATCAACTCCATTACGTTTCCATGATCGTCTGCGACTTTGGTGACGTCCTCCTCGGACACCGTTGTGTCATAAACTGAAAATCTTCAGATGCTTAGTTTTTTTTTTTTTAGATAAGAATAATTATAAGCCACAGACGATCCTGGGGGGAAAGCAGCATTAGTTTTGGTACTTTGCTTACCATGTTGATTTCATTATTTTGCATGGAGCACGAAGTTTTCATGTATGTTTTGAATACACCAGGAACAGCTTATTTAAGGGAGAAGAGGAAAATCCTCTACATATAGACTGAAATCCATGATTATATATTCAAAATGATGTCCTTAGGAAAATTGGTCAAATTGGTTATAATATTTCTCATGATTTAGCTGGTATTTTGTTACTTAATACTGCTATCTGATATGTGTATTTGTGATATGTTTGTGACCTGTTTTGATTTTGATAAAAGGAAAAAGGGCGAAGAGGTGCTTTGATATAATACTAAAATACCCCACTATGAATTTATCTTAAAAGACTATTGCATGATTACATTCGGTTTGCGTTGATATGCAATTTCTGGAATCCTTGCTACATGTACATTGTATATCGCCTTATAATCTTTCATTCCGGACTGTTTTTCGATTAATTTTAAATTAGAACCATAAGGAACTTGCTTTGATAGCAAGATAGTAGATAAAAGAGCCCTTGCATGGCTGGGTGGTTGTGGCCATTTTCAAACTACTAGTATTTTAATCTCCTTTGGAAGAAGAGCTCCATATAAAGGAACAAAAAAGTTATCAAATTTTAAGACTAAAATTTAAAAATATATGAAATTTTTCTTGCCAAATGATAGCTGATAGCTAAAGATATCATTTCTAAAAAATGTTATATTTGATGGTTAATTTGTTGACCCCCAGCCTCCTTAGGCCGAATGAATAAAAAGCGTACAAACTTCACATATTGCACTAGGTAAGGTGTACCTGTCCATTAATCTCATACAAAACATTTTTACAAACTTATAAACGCTTTTTTCCGAGAATTTCCTACAATTTTTAAGACTAGATCGTTTGATATACATGGCTATTCTGATCACTGTGCACTTACCCATTTTTGCTTGTAATATTGCACTTTATAGACCATTTATATGTATCAGCAAAAGTGTAACCAGAGTCTTATTTGAATGTTTATAAATGTTGCATTAACCCTACTTAAACTAGATAACGAACGCTCTAGATGTTGATGTAGGGTATATATCCTTAAGTTATGTAAGTGTAAACACTTTGCCAACTACACAATGTAGGTTACAAACTATGTTATCAGCTTTATAATGAAAAGAGAAAAGTGGGTCCATCATATTTTAATTGTGGAGGATGGGTAAACAAATGGTTTGTAAAAACTGACGCCCCCGTCTGGCACTGCGGCAAACGGTGAAGTTTGAATTTTTAATGCAAGTCAATGTCAAGAGACAAAAAAATATTGGTACGGAAAGAAAGATTTGTCGCAAGGAATCACCTGTAAACCTGCAAGCACTATCATTAACTATAAAAAAAAGTTTATATAGCCAGAGTTAAAGCTTTTTTAAAAAAAGGTCAACCTCAAAGGTCAAGGTCAAATTATAAAAAAAACATGAGAGTGCATAAAGCAAGGTCTTGTCATTCGGAAAACAATTGAAGCACTAACCATTCATAAGTAATAGCCAAGGTTAAAATTTTCCAAAAGTTGCATTGTCAAACTCCAAGATCAAGGACAAAGTAGATACCCTAGAGAAGATCTTGTCATTTAATAAGAAATATGAAAGCCCTAGAACCAACCGCCAAAATAATATTCAAGATTAAAGGTTTTCGAAAATTGGTAAAATTCAAAGTAAAAATGTCAATTGTATTGGTACCCCAGGGAAGGATCTCTCATGTAAAAAATATACCTGTGAAATATGAAAGAGCCAGAATCAAGAATTCAAACGGTATGACCAAGGTTAAAGTTTTTGATACAAAAATGATCAAATTCAAAGGTCAAAGTCAAAATTGTTGATACGCAAGGGAAGCCTTAGTAAAATGAAATATACAAGTGAAATATGAAGCTCTTGCACCAGCCCTTCAAACGTTATGGCCAAGGTTAAAGTATGGTAAAATTTTGTAAAAGGCAGTCAAACTCCAAGGCCTAGGTCACAAAAATCAAATGTGATGGTAAATCCAGAAAGGTCTTTTTACAAGAAATATGCATGTGACATATGAAAGCCATAGATCTAATAAACCAAAAGTTATGGACAAGGTAAAAGTTTTTACGCACAGATAAACATATAGACGGTCAAATCGAAAACTCTTGGCCAGCAAAGATAGGGTATGGTTTGTCGTTCTACTAAATTAACAAAAATACTCTTCTATTTTTTATTGCAGTAAAAAAAACCTGGTCATTGTTACTCACAATCAAATGGTTTTTTTCCCTCCTGAAAAATATTTAACCCAATTTTTTTTTACTATAAAAAGAGCTTGTCCTCCGACATCCAAATAACCTGGTTCTAATGTACCTGGATAATCTCTTTCAAAACTAAAATATTTATAAAAGCGTGATGACTTCAACTTTTTTTACCGTCAACTTCCATTATTTATGTAACAATATTACCTTATCACCTGCATATGAAGCTAGTGTCTCCTAGTTGATTTGATACGTACAATGTAAGAGCATGTTCTAAGTATGAAAATTTTCTAAAAGAAGACAAGCTATTGACAAACAAGATAATGAAATAAGGATATAAGCGCACGTTCTATTACTTTTCAGCAAATGCAATCTATCATTAAGTACCTCCTCTTTCTGGATCCGCGCCTGAAGGATCCAATGACAGAATTTCGTACGGCAAAGAGGTGTGGCTTAAATCGTCGTTGTCAACAACAGTTTAAAGTTGCTGATGTTATTTAACCACTTAACCATATGACTTAAAATGATAATCTGGGTCATCATTTGAGAGACGCTAATGATGTAGCTTTGAGAATGTTACGTCTTACTGAAAGTCCAAGGATAACAGAGAATTGTACTACCATAGATTTACAATCATTCGTAGAACACATATCGCATCCCTTATATTGCTGTAAAATGGAGGCGTCCCCCAACTTTATTGTGAGGCTGGGGTAATCCACTTTATTCAAAATTTCCATTTTTAGTTACCCTCATTTTTGTTTCTGTAAACCTTCAAGGTCTTCTACGTAAAAAAAAGATTCCACAGTAAACATTGTCGAATCCATAACCTGTGTAATTCCTTTGTCTCGGTCTTTTTTCATTCCCATCTTACTATTTTCAATGTTCTTATACTGTTTAATTCGACAGTCAGTCTTAACTAACACAAAAGAAATGTTTTCCATTGCATTTTGAATTACATAGGTTTCACTGTATTTACAAGAGCATGCTGTCAATGTCATGTATACATTCTTTAAAAAAAAACAAACACTATCAACATTTCAGTGTTTACTTGTCATGAACATTGGTTTATAAGATCCAAAGGGACCGTTTTAATTATCATTCTCCTACTGTAACAGTCCAAAAAATCTGCAGCTAAGATTTCTTAACCATTTCCGTAGACCAATCGTAATGTCTACTAATTTTCAAAATAAAATGTTCTGTCCATCTTTTCTCATGATCTGTAACTAAAAGGTTGGAGAACACAAAGCGTGCACATCAAATCCAACCTTTTCCTGTGTCCACAGCTTCACATGCTAAACACATGTCCTTGTGTAGTCAGAATCTAACAATGAACAATGCATGTTTTAAATTTCATATCTATATACAGAATCTATCTTATGTTGTTTTAGATATTGGTCAAACTCTTCGTTCAGGGCAACAGTAAAGTGGTTTTTCCAGTCTCCCACTTTCCCTGAAAAAGAAATAAAATTGTTATCAACATTAAAATTCTTTATAATGAATGGAAAACTCTTTACATGATAACTTCAGACCATTTTTTAAAGAAAATTATGTTTGCTTGCCCTCTCCCGACTCAGGGTAAAAAGAACTTGGGTCGGTAGGTAGGTGGTTAAATTTTTCTCTCAGAAATTTTCAACGTATATGTTCACAGTATGAGAAAATTCAGGAATAAAAAAAAATAGGTTGAAAAAAAAATTAAGTTCATTTTTAGATTGTAAACAAACATTATTTAAAGATGGCCTCATCTTGACTAAACTAATTTTAGGTATCTATATCCTATATTCTACCTTCCAAAGCACAAAGAATAAAAATCTGTTTTTTAAAATTAAAAATATATATACTGTGCACCTTTTCTATACATTGTCATCCCATGCGAGTTGCTGTTTCCCCCTTTGATTGTGGCGGACGCAGTCTTTAAGTTTTGAAAAGAACATTTTTCAGCGATCTGATTGGCTAGTTGATCATCACATGTTTTTTCCAAAAAGGAACTCAAACGCTTTATTTCACTGACTGGATCCTATTTAAGATTAAAAAAAATATTTAAAATTACACAAACTATTTAACTGGCTATCATTAACCAACCAAAGCAATGGGAGATCCTTTACTTTTTAAAATGTACCAAACTTTTAGAATCCTAATCAAACCATATTTGTTTTATGTAATTCCCTTTTTTCAAGAATACATTTTTCTAATGTAAATGTAAACAATTTAAACATTAAATATAAATAATATTTTCTTTTGAAACTATTTCTTGATTTTTAAGCATACATTTTTGTGGTTTCTTGATCAGTGTATCCAGATCATGTATCATTCAACACACATAATTCATACGAGATTAAAGAAACGTAAGATACCTGTTGCAAATCTTCATACATGATGAAATGTACAGGGTGGTCCGGATGTTCTTTAAAGTACTTTTCCCATTCTAATGTATAGAGAGGCCATGCACAGTGATACACTACAAAGAAAATGCTTCGTTAGTTATTTTGATATGTTTAGATACTTTAATATACACTGTACACATTGTATATATTTTTTTTCGGAATAGTTACACGATGTTTAATTAAGTCGTTTTTTATCGATACCCAGCGATTTTTACATAACCTTTGTTAAATATTTTTAGCAAGAACTATCTTATATTTCCTCCAAAGCATAAAATTGATATATTTATCATGATATTAAATGGTGTGATATCAATACCCTCTTAATAATACCAAAATGAATTCCTCGCTAACTTGAATAGCTAAAAATATAGGTATTTGAATGGTATAGTCAGAATTATCTTTAATTTCAAATATACTTAGTACTTTCAGAAAATAACATTTCATTGATTGAAAATTCACTGGTAAAATTTTAGTTTTACAAAGCATTTTTACTTGGCCCGTGTTTTTCCATGAGAAAGTCCATAAACTGAATGAAAGTGCCGGGAAATTTTGTCGTTTGGATACAATGATAATAAAACGACACTGCTACGTCTTTGGGATTGCGTTGAACAAAAACTGTCTTGCAGCGTTTCTGAAAAAATTGCTGAGGCATATTATTTGGTCGTAGGTGGGTGTTAAACACTCGTGGTGACGTCACGGACTCCAGCACTTCCGGGGTGTTGAATTCTATCATGTGGGTTTCCTTCTTCAGTGGATGGTATTCTGCGCTTTGCTGAATAATCATACTCATGATTTCCCAAGTCCAATGTGTTCCTTGAAAGGATAACTAAAACTATAGTAAAATATAGAATTTTAAAGCTGTTGTAACGGGATAGCGCTTAATGGCTATCACACTTCTGACGCCAAAAATTGTAACGGGATAGCGCTTAATGGCTATCCCACTTCTGACACCAAAAATTGTAGCGAGATAGCGTCCAATGACTATCTCATTTAAGTATTGCTATAGTGGTTCTAGAAGACAGGAGTAAACTCCCTTTTTAAACACTGAGTAAACAACTCTAAACTCGAAATTTAAGTTTTATTAATTTATTGAGTCTGCAAAACCAACATGAACAATTTTAATACAAAAAAAATAATACCCAGGCCTTTTAACCACCCTCTTCACTGACAAATTTCACAATATTAAATAAATTCTAATAAACAGCCGGATCTCGAAATAATCGAAATATGTGGCTGAAACCTACCTATTAAACTTAATTATTAATGAATAAAAGATTATTAACAACTGGAAATTCAGATACGATCGGATCCTGAAATAATCAAGATATATGATCGTAAATAAATCCCCAAAGCTGTTAAAACTAAACTTTTCCCCAATTAAATTAAACCAATTACCGAATTACAATTAACTGATTTAACAATTAGCAAATAATTACCAATTTTGTCTAAAAGCCCAAAATAATTACGTTAACCCTAACATCAAAAATAGCAGACTCCCCGATTTACGGAAGAATCTCCCCTTTTATACTCTAGTGAAAATTCGTATACAAAACTCTTACGAATTCGTATAAATTCTTACGAATTCGTATAAATTCTTACGGAATATACGAAAAATACGGAAAATCTTATACGGAAAATAGTTCCATATAAATAATTAGATCAATAATAAGTATTTCACCATAAAATAACTTGACTGTAATTCATTTAACAATAATTGATTAATCAATTACCTTATAACTGTACATTTTCACTTCTATACAAAACTCCAGGGCGTATAAATATACACCGCGGATCAAGAGTAAAAATAAACCGGAAGTATACCATAATGCAATGCGCCGCCATGTAAACAGAAAAAAATAAACTGTCTGCAAGCCTACAACACGTGTCTGCACAATACAGGTAAAATACTAGTGAAAAACGTAATTTAAACAAAACATCTAGTGGTTCATACTCTTTTAACAACATTTATACAATTATTTCAACAAGAACATCATTAAATACAAAAGGATATGCATGTATTACATGTACTCGTTCTACTTTCACTTTGCATACGATGACATGAAAAGTGAATCCAATTTTTAGAACATCACTCAATAAATGTACAATGCATACACTCAAATTACTCAGATTTGTAATCTAATTACAAATAAAATATAAGGGGACTTGAAATGACCAAACTTTACACTGTCCTTTATAATTTTTCGCTGATTAAAATAAAAGTTGAGGAATTACTGTCCCTCTCCTTTTTATCTCGCATTTCATTTTAAGTCATAATAATACTTGTAATTAAAAAAACTGATGGATGATTGAAAATTTAACTTGTCTAAATCTAGATCTGTTTTATGATTCTGATGTTTGACCGTTCAAAAACTTGAATTTTAATATTAAAATGCTCTATGAACATATCCAGATGTAGAACTGCAATAGGTCAATTCTTATAATGAACCTATTTTAAATCCTAGGATTTGTAGGAAAATTACGATCTGATATATTTTATCATTCACTTGTTCCAATGAGGAAAAATAAGTAGCATTGTACAAACCTGCTTTTGGATAAGCACACAGAAAACAGTCTTCTGGTTTGATATCCATCTCTTTCAATCTCGGGAAATTGGTTTTGGGGTTGGGAAACCTTCCCAGTTTTACCCCTCTAGCACTGATGCATTGTCCGCCACATTCCAAAAATTCCATAACGTTTCCATGGCTGTCGCTGACTTTAATGATATCTTCTTCGGAAACTGTTGTTTCATACCGTGTTTCTGTAATTTTTTGGGGTTTTATTGTTAAATAAAATCTGCATAAGCGAAAAAGTTTCCATGACAAATGTTAACAAACTGTCGAACTGAAAATGAAATTTGTAACATCAATTTCTCTTTGTCCATTCTTTCCAAGCACTTGGAAAAGAATAATTTTTGTTTTTACGTCAAAAGAATAATATACAAAGAATTCGAAATTCTACAAAAGCTAAAAAAAAAATGTCATTTCGATGCTAAAAAATCCCTTTGTTTCATTTCTCTTATACAAGGACCAAAGGTATATTCAATAACATTTCCATTTCTATTTGTTTTCTCTGCGATAACTCTTTGAAACTTCAAAGATAGGGGAGTTGATTTCTTGATCATTTACGCAAGCCAATCGATTGATCATCGCCATGAAATCGAAAAATCTGACAGTTATTCCTTATATTTTACATGCTCTTGATTCCGCCAATCCACGTGCTCTAAGCCCAGCGTCTGTCTCTACATTTGTCCCGCCCCGCACGTGATTTTTCTTAACCGCGCCTATCGATGAACCAGTGCATTCATGAAGAAATAAAGTACATTAACTATTTGTAATTTTATCTCGGACAAAGACATTGGAAATGTAAATAAATATATGTATGTATAACATCCCCACCCCCACCTCTCGATGTATCAAAAAAAAAATTACTTTCAATTCAAGGCTAAATAGAAACCTTCTCCAAGGATTAACGATGGGATTCCGACATCGACATTTGAGTATATTTATGTTGACAGCAGCATTAAATGCTTTCTCTAACTATCCCGACAAATGACCTATCGATGACATGAGTGCGCCTCCGTAATATTGACCGGGGTAGAAAATGGGACAATACTGAATACACGCCTCCTTTCAGTTTCAAAATAAATATCTAAAGTACGCTTATCGTAAACAAAAATATAATCAATCCTTAAAAATGTCTCGTATTTATACTTACCCATTACATCTGCACTTTGATCATTCATGATAAAAGTAGTAGATAAATCAGTGATAAGGAATAACCAAAAAATATTTATCCAAGCTCCAGTTTTACAAAGCTTGGAGTACCTACGGAGGTCTGCGGATCGGTCAAAGTTATGGAAGCGTAGATCTGACTTTAAACAGTTTCCCTTCATACACAGAGGGTAGCAATAAAGTCTTTATTCTTTATATTGCAGGTGTCCTGTTAGAAGCAATCGATGTCTATTTAACACTGAAAGACACTTAAAAGGTTTAAATTGAGGGAAATTAATTAAACTAATTTGTTAGCTATAGTTCTGGTTCGATGTAAAAAATGTCCTGCATAAATAATGCTGACTTAGATTTAATAAAAATGCCTTGGGAAACTTGTGTGTTAAAATCGTTATTGCGAAATTTTTAACGCTGAGGGACGAAAGCACAAGATGATCCCCTTCTCATCCCTCCTTTTACAATTGCTTGACTTCTCTCTTATCCCCCCTCTTTACTACTAACATTCAACTCATTCGTCCCCAATTTCTCACAACTCACTTAACACCTTCTTCCTCAACTTCAAGAAGTAAAATGCATGTTTTATTATATATTCCAAACTTTAACTGACAATTAGATTACAAAATATGTATAATCAATTTCTTCGTACACTAACAAGCATTCCGTCTGATTCCTTTTTCAAATTGTTTGTCGAAAAAACTTCGTCTTTGCTGGCCTGAATCGGAGGAATCATCAGAAAACAAACTAATTCAGAGAAAAAAGAAGAGCATGCGCGGATCTAAATTGGGGATAGGGATCGGGGGTACTTTTAGAAGGATGGGCGGGGCCATAGGGACTTGTGGTATAAAATTTGATTGCAAAAGCTCAAAAACATTTTGACATATAGCCCATAAATAAAACAATATAAGTTTATGACCTCGACCTTTGACCTATTGACCTCAAAATAAATAAGGGTCTTTCTTAGGACATAGCAAACAGTGGTATGAAATTTGACTGCAAAAACTCAAAGGCTTCTCGAGATATCGATGGAAACGAAAGTGTTAAAACAGACAGAAAGACTGGCGCCACGGACAAACAGACAGACCCAAATTGATATCTCCCACTTTCAGTGAAAACGGGGGCAAAAATCCGGATGCAGAAAACTAAATTGTTAATGAAAAGATTGTAGAAAATCTCCTCTCTAAATTATTTTTAAATTTAGTACATTGTCATTTTCAAACATTTCCTAGGTTAAAGCCAGTGTTCTTTGGACAAAACTTTATAATCGATGAAAAAAGACATGATATCTTAGAACTTGTAGAATGAGGTAAAATTCTTTTCATATTTTATAGAATGCCATAACATGAGGTAAATAATGTAATCATAGGATAATAAATGCTCTTGATTTTTTCTCTCCTTAACATGTCTTGTTTTAAGTTTGCGCTTCCTGGACATACAAGTACTAATGCTTACAAAAACATTAAAATTATAAACCTCAAAGTAGTTTGGATTGGGAAGCTGTCTGTTAGTTCTGTGCCGCAGATCACCTTTGCCTAGAAGTCCTTGTATAGCATCTGAATGATGGATATAATCTTGTTTGTGATGCAATAACGTCTGAGGATCATCCATAAAGCAGGACGATGTATTCTGTCAAATGCTTTGGCAAAGTCGATGAAATTGGCATACAAGTGATACAACGTAGCATTCCATTCATTGCTTTGTTCTAGAATTTGCCTCAAGGAAAATATCTGGTCTGTGCATGATTTTCCTTTTCTAAATCCAGCTTGTTCTTTACGAAGGTATGGGTCTACCACAGAGGCCATTCTGTTTAAGATGACTCTGCTTAAGACTTTGCTGGTAACTGACAACAACATAATCCCTCTCCAATTATTTGTGTCAGCTTGGTCACCTTTCTTGGGCAGCTTCACTATGAGACCAACCTTCCAATCATCTGGTGCTGTTTCTGTCTGCCAAATAGTTTGCAGGATATCTGTGAGAAGTCTGTGTGTTAATACTTCCTCAGCTTTAAACATTTCTGCATGTATTTGATCGATCCCTGGGGCTTTCCCATTCTTGAGAAATTTGATGGCATGTTTTACTTCCTCAGTTGATGGTGTGTTGGTATCGATGTCCAAAGTGTCTATAGCTTCAATAATTTCAGCATGTTCTGTTGATGGACATTCCTGGTTTAATACCCTTTCAAAATGCTCTTTCCAACAGGTAAGCTCTTCTTCTATACTAGAGGCCAATACTCCATCTTGTTTTCCTACTGGTGTATCTGTGCTTTTAAATCCTCCACTCAGAGTTTTTATAATGCGATATAATGTCCCCATGTCTTATTTCAAGGCAGCATTTTCTGCAAGCTTGTCAACTTAATCTTTCCTGTCCTTGCGTGCACTTTTCTTAACTTCCTTGTCTTGTATTGTGTATATTTCTTTTAGCTGATCTTTTAGCCTAGCTGACTTGGCTGTTAGTATTTTCTTTTTTGTTCTGCACCTTAGTTCCACCATTTCCCAGGTCTTAGATGATATCCATTCTTCCTTCTTCTTCCTTTTCAACCCGAGTGTTTTCTTTCCTGCTTCAACTAGTGTGGTGTTAAATTGTTCATCTTATAGGATGGTAAATCGGTTTTTAACCTCCAGCTGAAATGATTTCATGAGTGCAGGATCTTTGAGTTTGCTTACATCCACTTGAGGTGACCGTTGTTCCCCTTTCTTTATCTTTCTCAATTTCAATTTCAGCTTTACTAGGACAAGGGTGTGGTCACTTCCTACATCAGCTTCTCTCAATGCCCTTACATCCTGCAGTGTACCTCTCCACCTTTTATTAATCAATACATGGTCAATTTGGTTCTGTGTGTGACCATCTGGTGAAGTCCATGTTAGTTTATGGATGTTCTTGTGCTGGAAGATGCTCCAATAACTAACTTATTTTCTAGGCAGAAATCTACTAGTCTACTACCATTGTTGTTAATCACACCACATCCATGTTTTTCCATAATGGATTCTTTTCCTTCATTGTTGGTATTAATTTTCGCATTCAGATCACCAAGTATGACGAGTACATCATGAACTGGTGTTTCCTCCACAGCTCTCTGCAGTTCTTCATAGTAAAATCCTTTTCTTCTTCTTCTTTGTCTTCTGTAGGCGAGTAGCAGACTATAACCTTCAGCTAAGCATATTTTGAATGGAATCTTGCAGAAAGAAGTCTGTCGCTGTATGGTTTCCAACCTAACACGCACTTTCCTAGTTTCCTACTGAGTATTAAGCCTACTCCACTGCTGTGCTGTTCGTCGTTTCTTCCCGAGTTCAGTATCTGATGACCCGTGGCAAGTTTGCGAGTCCCGTTTCCTGTCCATCTAGTTTCCCATACACCTAGCATTTGGATGTCGTACCTGTCCATTTCTTTTAAAACTTGGGCCAATTTTCTTGTCTGGTAGAGGGTGCGGACATTCCAGCAACCAACTCTACATACTTCTTTAGGGTGAAGGATGTTCACTGTCGGGGTGTCAGTTTCTTGCTGGATTTGACTGCCATCCTTCAGGTGTTTATCCTCGGCTTTGGTTTCTGTAGCTGTTGATTTTTTACATGTCAGGGTTCCTGACCCTGAGCAAACCCCCCTGGACTCGGAGGACCAGTGGTTTTCTGTCAGGGTTTTCCTTTCCGTAGGTCACAGGTTCCAGTTATTTAAAGGCGCCGGAGACTCGCCTTTCGCCACTGTCACTCAGCTACCTAAGCATTTCCAGGGCCACCAAAACGTGGAGGTGTGACATGTGACTTGCTGGCAGAACCTATTTGAGACGGTGGGCATTAACTCGAAGTTTTATTGGTGAATCTCCGTGACCAAAGAAACACCCCTCGAGACCCTCACCAGCATTTGACCCCCGTTATAACGAGTTAATTATCTCGATAAAACGAGTTAATTTTCTCGTTATAACGAGATAAAAACTGGTCTAAAGTTGGTATATCTAAGTGATAGGAAGTATAGCATATAAAACAACAAAACAGTTTTTTCGAGGGGTTGTGCCTGTGATTGTAGTTCGTTTATGTATAAACAATGCAGATGATTTGTATTGTTTACTAAAAGACCGAAAACAAATGCATGTATACGGAAACTTATGACTGCCTCGTGATGTTGTGTTATGAGTGGGCAGTAGCCCCGAATTTTACGCCCATGACCTAATTGCTGATGCCATATCCCCCTTCTTCAAAATATTTCTGACTCTCAAAATAATATATATCACACTGTAAGTGTATATAATATATGTTGCATTAACGCCTGCGTTAGCTTGCTATTATAATGTATTAATTTAGGTACTTAAACATTGATTATGAAAGCTAATAAGTCATACAAAACATATAAAAAAAATTAGTGTCTTTTATCGGAGAAAAGTGTCATACATAAATTGCCAACCTTTGAAGCAAGTACATCTAGCAATATTTTTTTTGATATTGTGTCCTTGGAGACGTTCACGTATATGTGTGTAACTGTGTTCGAATAAAGATTGCTATACTTATCAAATTGTGATTATTGACAGCAAGATAGTTCAGGATTAATATTATTTAAACCATATCGCAAATTAAATTTGCAACTTTTTATCAATTTTAAAGTTAAGTACGACTGATAATTATCAACTAAACTTCAATGGCATAAAAATTACAGCCATTTTAAATTCCTATATTGCTATTAAATTTGGAAATAAAGGGACAACTTATTGTTTCGTTATAACGAGATAACTAACTCGATATAACGAGAAAACTAACTCGTTATAACCAGATAACTAACTCGTTATAACGAGAAAACTTAATTGTTATAACGAGATATCTAACTAGTTATAACGAGAAAACTAACTCGCTGTGACGAGATAATTAACTCGTTATAACGAGATAACTAACTCGTTATAACGAGATAATTTACTCGTTATAACGAGATAATTAACTCGTTATAACGAGAAAACTAACTCGTTATAACGAGATACTAACTCGTTATAACGAGATACTAACTCGTTATAACGAGATACTAACTCGTTATAACGAGATAAGTAATTCTTAATAACGAGATAAAACTAAGTCGTTATAAGGAGGTAATTAACTCGTTATAACGAGATACTAACACGTTATAACGAGATAACTAAGTCGTTATAACGAGATAATTAATTATAACGAGTTAAATTTTTTTTATTTTTCAGAAATGAGCCTATCCGGCTTTCGTACTAACTAGATTCTATTGAGAGAAAGTAAATTAATGTCAAGCCAGTTATGTAAATATGTAAATTTGAAAAAAAATCAAAGTGTGTTGACTTTGTCTCGAATTTAGGTTCGTGCTTAATTTTTTTTTCAAAATGCGTTGCCACAAACGCCCCAAGCTTGCTGAAGGGAATAAATTAACATACTAAGTATGTTTTTAGTTATTATCAATTATGATTAATTTTGCATTTAACAGTATAAAATTAAACCTAAACAGCATAAAACGTTTGGTAGCAACAAGGTGTTTTGAACAACACTGAAAAGTTATAGCATTTTTGTCGGTCAAAGTAAAACGGCGATTAGCTCTCTTTGGTTAATAAGATTTTGATTTGTTTTAATCCTAAAACATATACAGAGAGAGCATAATTTTTTATTATCGATAAACGACTAAGTTGATCTTTGTCTATCTGAAACACTCTTTCCTCGTTTGTTTTATCTTCTGATAACAAGTGTAGATGCACTGGAGCAATCCAGATAAAATCAGTATCAACATCCCTCCAGATAACAACACGAAGACACTCCCACAAGTATTGTGAAATATGTTTCGCCAAATTATATGTTTGATTATCTCTGTCCTCTCGGTTTTGCATCAAGTATTTTCCCGCCAAAGTTGCTGCATCCCGAAACAATGGACCGGAGTTGCTACCCAGAAGCTTGGACGATACGACCATGACGTTGATGTTGCGTCACTTGCTGACGTTATTACTCATGTTGCGTACAGTTATGATGACAGAAAAATTTCTCTTCAGCAAGAAGTTTACAACATAACAATCGGTTTTAAGGAACAAGTTCATGTGATTTACGAATTCAAAGAAGTTAGTATTTTGCAATGCTTAACATTTTTTGATGTTTCGATTTTATTGATATCTCTGGATTATTATATTTACTGCTATGTCATTTTATCAAATCAAATCTATTAATCTGTAAAATCAGCATGTCGGTATTTGTAAAAAGTCAAGCTTGCATGATATAATTCAGTTTAACCCCTCAAGATTAATAACCAAGGCCATTTTTGTTGAAGTATGTAGATAATATAACGCACTGTAAAACAATAGACATGTAATATTTATACAAAAGTCACGAAAACCGAAGTATTCAGACCGCCCGTAAAGAATAATCAGATAAAAGCTCGAAGATGTTTCTCTTGTCAACTGTCTGGGAATCTGCATAATTAGAATGCCAGAACATCCTTGTAACATGTACATCTTTCAAGAGTTCCTCCAGTAGTTCAAGAGATAATGCCCTAGAAACGAAAGCCTACATTAAAGACAGTCAAGTGAAATGCTCTCAGATTCGTTTTGTTGTTACTGTTTGTTTTTTATGCGTATTTGATGCACTTTTAACATTTCTATTCCTTGTTTTAGGGAATACAATATATTATAACCAATGGAGATTACTGTATTTCGTACCCCCTCGGTGGAGATATGTGGTCTGGCTGTGTTCCAGGCAGGTGGTATTTTTTAAAGTACTTAGTAGCTTCACATTTTTTTGAATGACAATGCAACAACTAGTAATTTTCGTTAAAATTACAACACAGACCTTACATACATGTACTAGTATACATGGCCATAGGAATAGGGGGTGGGAGGGGGCGTGCCCTCCCAATACTTTTCGTCATATAGAATACTACAGAAAACATAGCAACTATATTATTATGCCTGTGTCCCCACATTAATGAAGTCGAATGAAGTGAAGGAAGTCATGGAAGTTTTGGTAGTGCCCCCTCCCTAATGAAAATAAGTAATATGTGTCGGCGCATCCTAACCTCAAATTTCTGGATTTTTTTAAATACTAGTGATCCCTCTTGCTTCAAGAAAAATTGTTGTAGCATCTTTCTTTGGATTAGAGAACATTGCCCTTTTTCTGAGACCAAAAAAAAATACTCTAATGATTAGCCTCTTGAAAAGGTTCAAATAGCCAAACTGAAGTTGAACATTCTAATAGAGCTAATAAGATAAACCTTGATCTAATTAGCAAAAACGATAATTTTTTTTTTAGTTTTAAGGACATACGCATCGTAGTTTTAGTTTTGTTGTGTTTTTCTCTGGACTTGAAGAGTTCCAATACTTTAAGAAACTGAATGCTATATTTTAATGTATATATATTTTCACTTCTTCTAAAACAAGTATATGTTAAGTCATTTTTGTGTAATTTTCTTTGAATCATCCAATAATTTTCATTAATTGACATCTTTTCAAAACCCGGGGTAATGCAGGCTGATTTTTTGTCTATGAACTTCTGATGACACTATAATCTTAAATTAAAAAATATCTTGAAAAATTATCAGTAGGTAAGGACCGTTGCGTATGTCCTTAAAATCATCTTTTGATTTATAAGACTTCACACAGCAAAATGATATTTGTCATATTATTTTCTCTTACAAACTGTAACAGTATTAATAAATTGGCAATGTCTTCTTTTTGATTTTATTTATCTTTTAAACTTTTAATAACTTAATATTTATATAGACAATGCAACTCATCTGGGAACATACAATATTTCCGGTCCCGTGGTTGACATTTACAGAGTAGCGTCCCTTGGTGGCGGCATTATACGATATAGTGTTAGCAACCCATTTTGTTATCCAACGACAGAGAGTTTACTGACCCCTGGTCCAGGTAATTTATAAATTCGTCTTAATTAATAACAGTCAACTATTACAAGTCAATGCTTACTTGGCATATATAATTACTTGTCAGAAAACAAAACATGTATAGTTGTATGTCGTGCTTAAAGATAGGAGAAATGAACATATCTTCTGAATGAGAGAGTCACATGTATTTACGTATAGAGCACTTGATATTGCAAAATTTGTGCACAACAACTCTTTTATAGAACAAACGATAGAAATAATTGCGTTTTGTATATTTATTGCAGTGTATGATTTAAAAGTCAGTGTATATGAAAACGTAACCGAAGGAATCAGCGACCCTTCAGTGTTCAAAGTCCCCGTATTCTGTCACCACAGTCAGGTAGGAGCAGAGGGTTTAAAAAGATCATCAATTGTACGGTTGAATGTTCAATAAAGTTAAACATATATTTTGATTCAGTGTATTTTTTCCTTGAAATCGAAAGCAAATCTACAATATTTTACCCCCTATGAATACTTGCGCTATTACATACAAAGGAGGGCAACCAAAAATTAGAATTCAATGCTTTAATAAAATCGTCTTTGATTTGTTTGTTTTAGCCAACGATGATTCTTTACCTTTTAGCTTCCTTGATAGAATGCTATTGCAGTTGATTTGGGAAGTTAATGAATGTTTGTGTGTGTTTCTCTCATCCTGGTCTAGATACAATACAGTAGTCAAGTGACTCTTCAAAGTTCATTGCCACACCACTAAACATATAAATACAACAATTATCTATGTCAAACAGCTGACTAAGAATGTAAATTTCGTCCCAAGACAATAATAGCCTTGGAAAAAAGAGGAGGAAAAAAGATTAATGAATATTTTTCATTGACTAAGAATTTAAGATAGGCAATGCCTGTAATTTCATAAGCGTTAATTTTTATTTTAGATAAAGAAGAAATACATCTCCTCTACTATCGCTGAATTGATTCATAGTGCCTTTTCCTGGAGATGATGGAAAGCTCTTTCAGATGCTGCTATGTGTTGCTTCGCAATCAATTATCTTCTGCTGTGGCATTCATTATTATTTTTTAACTGTTGTCAGTTTTGCCACTTCCTTCTTAGCTATTTGATAAAAAATAAACATAAAAGAATTATGTCTTAATTTTAAATTCCATCTAAGTAAAAAGAGAAAAAAGAATTTGTCAATATGTTGTGTGGAAACATGACCAAATAGACCATTCAATGTGTAAAAAGTTCAAAAAAATTTCATAATATAAAAGTACTTTTATCTTGTTATCACAAACAGATTCATTTACAATGTAAAGTTCGTAACCGTCATGGATATATAAGTGACGCGTGAAATTGGTTGACGAACGTCAATTACACTCCGTCACACACCATCACGTGACACCTGGGTAACATCTGGTAATGCCAGATGATGTAAAGTGCAATTGCAACAGATATTATTGTAAGAAATCTTGCGATAGATGATTATAAAGTATACATGCAGTTTTTTCATAAATAATCCGGGTGACTCATAACAAACACACCTTGTGGTTTTTTGAGATTTTTTGTCTGACTGGAATATGGTATTCACATTGGAAATAAATATTATAATATCACATAGAACTCTGTCTGTTTGTCTGCTTGTTTGTATTAAACATTTTCGTAAAGACTTGCTTCACTTGTTGAGCTGAACTTCGTCGTCGAGGTTTATTTTCTATTAGTTTTCGTCTTTTCACTTCACGTGCTAATTCGTAAAATAGTTCATATATTTCTTCATTTCCGTCACAAACGGAAGTCTCAAAGAATGCGCATGCCATTTCTGTTGCAAGTTTCATCCCTTCCGCTGTGCTTACATCACGTTCACGCATTAAGTCCACTTTATTTCCCACTAAAACACATTGAACATTTGTTTTCTTTATATCGTCTAAGAAGTCCTTCATTTTCATCACTTCTTCAAAACTCTGTCGATCATTTATTGCATAAACAAGAATAAACCCATCAGCCCATCGAATGTGACCCTCTCTCTGTAAAGCTTCTACCTGAAATGCAAAAGATGAATATTAAAGTTTCTTTGTTTTATATTTTAAACAGAGTAAAGGAAATAGACTATATATAAATTTAATTCTTCTGCCAATAAAATATTCGTTTTTAATGAAATAATTACCTTAAAAACTTTTACTACATAAAAATTATAAGTACAAAATGTTACAAAATTCAATTTCTAGTACTTATATATGCTATTGAGATACATCTTTTTTGCCCCCTGATTTATGGCACATATAAAAGGGTCGGCTTTCAAATGGACTGAATCAGATGTATCTTACAATTTAACCCTCTCTATAAACTGTATAAAAAGTCGATATTACTCCATTAGAGGTACAAAAAAAAACTCTTTCAGATTAAAGCACAATGTTCTACGTTTTATATTGCATGTCCTAGTCGGCACTTTTAAAGTTAGTCGATCTTGAAGCCATCTGAATTTATCATTTTCAAAAATATTTAGAATTAAATTGAATATTAGTATAGAAAAATTCAAAATACGCAGAGGGGTTACAAAATGCCCTCAGTTGTTTTAAGATGAAAAAAAAAGTAAAAGAACGGTACTAGCACGCAGGAAAGACGAGGATGTCTTAAAGGCAGAATTGATTGAGCGATATTGTATTTAACTTCTAAAAAGAATTTTAATGAAAAGGTTATCTTGTGATGAAAATTATTGAAAAGAAAACCCCAGCAGTATAAAAAAAACAAGAGCAGATAAATTTTAATGTAAGAATTAAAATACTGTACACCAACTATTATTCGCGTCATCTTGTATTCGCAATTCGTAAGTTTCACTTCGAAATCAATCCGGGACAATTTAATTTCGCGACTGGGAAACTTTCTCTGTGTACAGATACAAAGCAAAATATGTGGTTCGCGGCAATTAATATTCGCGAGTTAATGTACGTCGCGTAACACGCGGATATTTCTCGCATATGAATAAAAGTTGGTTTTACAGTATAAACTCAACTCGCTTTAAATACGCAAAAAGTCGAACAGATTCCGGCGCGCTTTTGCTTTGTGACGTCAAAGTGACTCTATTCGTTATAATTTACGTTATGCGGCATTTACATTTTACGGAAGATAAACAGTTGGAATATTATGATCCACAAGGAATTTTAATAAATCTGGTCAGGTAAGTGAACTAAAAGTATTTTTAATGAATCTACGTGAAAAAGAGCTGCGAATTGTGTTCTTCAGGAAATGAATAGAAGCCTTTAGATAAAACTACGAAGCTAACGTCTTGATGAAAAATTAAAGATTTGTCAGAGAATTTTTTGTTTTTCTTAGATTTCATTAGATTACGTTCTTTCTTACTTTGAAAAGAAAAAGAAATTTTTTGCAAAGTTCTTTTTTACGAAATTTTTTGCAATGACGTTGCTAAGGGTGATGATGCAGGGTAAGTCGTTGTGTTGTGACAACAAGCTCATAGTAACGGCATCATTCGTAGCGAACGGACGTGCAAAAATTTCACAGCGAAAAAAACTGAAAATTGACAATGAAACGACGACTTTCATCTGAAGATTCCTGTACTGAAGGGAACATAATGGTATAAATTACCTATATGAATATTCTTTTTATTACATTATCTCAAAAAAATTGAGATATTCAAGGCAGTCAATTTTTATGAATGCAATGCATCCGAGTTAAAACACGAAAAAATGTTTAGGTTCAAAATTGCCCATCGTAAATAAATCCCAGTGATTCTAAATTTACAATTAAAATAAATGGAAATTGAAAAAAAGCATTTATATAAGACGTACTTCAAAATGAAAACGATAGTATAAATACCTACACCAGAATACATGTATGCATATGATTTTTTTTAAATTATTTAAATTACACTATAGCCCGAAAATGAAAATATGTAAGGCAGGTAAAGTTTTTAGTTATAAATACTTCGCATCCGAGTTCAAACTCGGAAAAAATATTCGGTTTCAATTTTGTCAAAAATTATAAATCCCAATTGTTCCAATGTTACAAAACAAATGATGAATAGAAAATGAACAGTTCCAACATTCTTATCAAACAAAAATAGTTAGAAGAGTTTCCGTAATACCTATAGTATTTTGGTCAAATTTTTCACAAGGAATACAAAATTCGGCACATTTTTGATATTTGTGGTCTCTTTTTTAGAACATAGCCTTCTGTTGCACTTATTTTAGTCCCGTATTTATCGGCCCCGGTATACTAGAAATGTATGTATATAAAAATGTAGTGTCTTAGTAAAAAGGGGATTTTCATACTGAGTATACCCAATTATTATTCTAAAAAACATATCATCACTCAGAAAATTAAAAATAATCCATTTCTTGATATTTTAGGCAAAGAGACGAAAAGTCAAAGGAGGAAAGAAAGACAGGAGGAAACGTGGTCCTCGTTCGTCCTCTGACTCCTCCAAAGTTCCCAGGACAGAGTCGTGCGTATCAGACACCTCTAGCCACAACAGTGACACTGCAGGCAAACTATCAGCTGCTGAGGAATATGCATTGATTTCTAAGGAGATACGTGACTTTGAAGCTGCTTGTGAAGTTTCGCAGACAGATTGTGCTTCAAACTCTCTCGTCAACAATGAGGTTGCAGGCGATACAAATGTTGCAGCAGAGCTGCAACATGACTTTCAATCAGTTGATTGTGCTATCAATGAAAGCAACAATGATGCATGTGTTCTCTCACAAGCAGACATTCTTGGATTGTTACAAGGACTGAGCAACACGTACAATCTAGCAGAGGTGTCTCCGCAGGAGCAACCTTTTCATGTTGTGTCAGACGGTACCTCTATGTACCTTGTGGGCTCTCAAAATCAGGTCTACATGTCAATGGTACCACCGACTGGAAGTAGTACTGCTACGACGACAGACTCTCAAATGGTGTGCACCATTCACGAGAGCCCTTACCAATCGAACCAGCTCACAGACAACATTAACAAATCGGTAAGTCAATCCTTCTCTCTATTTCTATATATCTTCTCTATATCTTCCCTCCTTTTCTTTTCTCAAACGGCCTATATCTATTTTCTATTCTGTATTCTTCTCTTTCTTAGCAACAGTTCATTTCCAAGTCTTTTTCTGAGAGAATCAAGGAAAGGCTTGATGATTGGGTAAGAAGCTGTCAATCATAGGATTTGATAATATACATGTACTCCACATTCTGTCCCTAAAAGCATTTTATTACATGGGCAAAATTCGAGAATATGGTCTTTGGAATTAGGTGTCTCTGTGTGGGGTGGGGATGGGAGTAGCAGGTTGCAATGGAGTTGTTCATTCCTACCTTCAAAAGTGTGAAAATTACTCTGAAATCCCTATTTTATTATACTAGTATTAATCCTCTGTATCAATTTACATAAGTGTACATATTTTGATTCTTTTTTTCAGTATTACTCGACAATGGATGTTGATCGGAGAGAGGCTGACCTACTGAGATATCCCTCTCACTTGGTTAGTTTTATTTCCTTTACTTCATTAATCATATACATGTATCAACAAGAGAATTTAACTAATACAGTGAAATTGCAATTCGCATCAAAATCATGTACAAAAGATGAAAAGAATATAAACATTATTAATGTATGTCTACCGAGAATGGCTCAAATTGTCGAAAAATAGCGGGACCTAAAATTTGTTTGGTGTAAAAAAGGGGGTAAGAAAGTATGAAATAAAAAGACACACCCTTTAACCTCCCTTTTTATATGATGGTATAGAAACTAACAATGGTTTATACTGGTAATTTTTTTTCAGTTGGAATGGTCTGAACGTGTGAAATTCAGTCACGAGAGGAAGTGGAAACTGCTAGAATACCACGAGCCAACGTACAGCGAGTGGGATTTCCTATGAGCAGCATTCTCGGACAGTTATTATGTCGTGTGGTGGTATAAGTTTGGCCCACTTTGTGAGAAGCATTCTTGGACAGCTACTAGTATTATGTCGAGTTGTGCTATAGATTTGGGCAACTTTGTGAGAAGCATTCTTGGACAGTTATTATGTCGTGTGGTGCTATAGATTTGGGCAACTTTGTGAGAAGCATTCTTGGACAGTTATTATGTCTTGTGGTGCTATAGATTTGGGCCACTTTGTGACTATCCATATCAGCCCATCTTTTGTCTTTCACTTTTATAAGCAAACAGATGTACAACTTTTAAATTCTTCATCATTAGTATTATTTATTTTTTGTCTGTTTTAAATATTTTTTTTTTACTTATTTCTTCAATTTGCAATGGTTTTTTTCAGCAAAATTATGTCAGCGATGAAGCATTTGGCAGTGAGAAAATTTGATTATTAGAAACATATTAGAATCTTTATTCTATTTTTCCATTTATTTCTTTAGCGATCTCAATTTTTAAAAGAAAGACAACGTTGGTTTGGTTGTGCATCTTAGGCCATTTAGAGTTTATTGAGCATGCTCCAATTACTTGTAAATATTTTGATTATTATTAATTTAAACTAGTACATGTATTATATCTCCTGTTTTCTTTCTAAAGAAACTTCATTTTACATAGAAAAGAGTTTTTCTTGTAATATCATTATCAGTACAAATTGTAGTGCAGAATCGTAGCTCTCCTAAAATTTATATTGACAGACCGGAGAGCTACAGTACCACCCATTGAAAAAAGTGTGAATTTATTGCGCAACAAAAGGTGCGCTGTTTATCAAATAATTTCCCCGTTTCTATCAATATACTACTAACCTTGTGTTTCTAACATATTTTCTTGTTACTTCCACAACAAAACCTTTATGTACCAGTCACGTCCGAAGCGCGTTGGACCGAATTTGCTTGAGACTCAAAATGGTCGTATCAACAGGCGAAATTGCCGATGATCTCAATTTCAGGCCCAGGAGGGTTATTTATAACGGTTTTTGGGAATGTTAAAACACAATATTGTGGAGGTAGTGAAGAAATATGTTAGGAATACACGGTTTGTAATATTTTGAGTTGACATCTGAAACATACGGAGAAATACCGTCAAATCGAGAAACAGGGCACTTTTTTGTGCGCAATCAATACTCACTTTTTTCGATGGGTGGCACTGTAGCTCTCCGATCTGTCAATATATTTTTAGGAGAGATACAATTCTGCAGCTATATATATTGTGGTATTAAATATTTAAAGAAACACCACAACAACACACTTGTTCTTAAAGTAAAACAGTTAACATCTAAATATGAAAGCATTTCAGGGAAAATTATTTGAATTATCGTGGAACAACAGAGGAATTCAAGGACAAAGACGGATGAAGAGAAAGATGCAAAATTTGTTCCTATGGAACTCCAACATTTTCTTGCTTGGGCCCTAATAATTAGACTTCAAGGTCTTATCACTGTTGCCCCCCCCCCCCCCCCCCCCCCCCCCCCCCCCCCCCCCAAATAAATTGTTTTCATAATGAAAGCATAAATAGATAATATTATTTCTACTTAGCGATTCGTCCCTTTGATTAATTGATAGATAGGGAAATTTACTTTCTGTATACAATTTGCGTTCTCGTACATTGTAGAACTTAAAGATCATCGACCCTCAGTGAAGAGAGATAACTCTCATGCATTGAAACCAATATCATTTCTTTAGAAAATTGTCAAGTAAAATGCCTTTAAGTATTCTGTCGATTTTGAAAATCAGAAACAAAAATTTTATAAGAATCATGTGACATAAGTTATAAAACTTGAAGAAAACAGCATCTTCCATAAGCTAGCTGCAGAACTGAAGCTTTTTACTTTCTCAAGCACAGAGCTACAGTTCTGCAGCTAACCATAAGCTTGTTCTGAGATGATAATCGAGCTTACATTGTCATATTACCAGTGAGTTTACAGTTTTTCTACCTATTTCCTGTATGGATTCATTTGATCTCAGTTTGTTTCAATGCCTAACAACTTTGTAAAACCAGTTAACATCTAAAGCATATCGATACATATGCCTGTCAAGAAAACAAGATGTGTTTGTGAAACTCTATGCCCCCAATGGTAACACAATTCTGGAGTGAGACGTAGACTCAAGTTGTATACAACAAGCAAATTCAAGGAATTGTGGTCCCCCGCTTTCGGTGTCTTTGTGGGTGAGATGTCATTTTTATATGACATATTGTGTGTAATATGAACACCCTATCATGTCATTTACTTAGAAATCATCACTAAACTCCAAGGTCAAGGTCAATGGGTTAAAGTTCTTGGTATCCAATGAGAAGTCTTCTCACAAGGATTACATATGTGAAGTATGAAAGCCTTAGCCCTTACCATTCAAAGGTTATGGTCAAGGTTAAAATTTTCTCATAAGTACAAAAAATCTCCAAGGTCAAAAGGTCAAGGTTGTTGATATCAAATTAAAGGTCTTGCCACAAGGAATACATATGTGAAATATGAAAGTCCTAGTATCTACTGTTCAAAAATTGTGGCCAAGGTCAAAGTTTTTGAAATGTTGGTCAAATTCCAAGGTCAAAATCAAAGGATCAAAGTTCTTGGTATTCAATGAAAGGTCTTCTCACAAGAATTACATATATGAAGAATGAAAGCCCTAGCCGTTACCGTTCAAAAGTTATGGTCAAGGTTAAAGTTTTTCATAAGTACGGAAATCTCCAAGGTCACGGTCAAAAGGTCAAGGTTGTTGGTATCCAATAAAAGTTCTTGTCACAAAGAATATATACGTGAAATATGAAAGTCCTATTATCTACCATTGAGAAGATATGGCCAAAGTAAAAGTTTGGAATTTTTGTGTAAAAGTGGGTTGGGTCAATCTCCAAGGTCAAGGTCAAACGGTCAAATTCGGTGGTACCCAAAAAAGATCTTATCAAAAGAAATAAACATGTAAAATATGAAAGCCATAGCCCAACTGAATCAAAAGTTATGGGCAAGATTAAAGTTTTTGTGATGGACTGACAGACGGACAGACTGACAGACAGACGAATGAGATTAAATGTCCCCTTGCTTTCGCGAAAGCGGGGGACAATTACCCTTTACAGCGCAATAGTTATGGGCCAGGTTAAAGTTGACAACAGACAGACATGAAAAAAACAATATATCCCCCGGGATCTTTGGATCCGGGGGCAAAAATTTCTAGTCGCATTTTTGTAACCGCAGCTTATCGTTGTTATGTCCCTGGATCGAAAGATCCCGGGGGTAAATTGTCTTTGTCCTGTCTGTCTGTTTTTCTGTCTGTTGTCAACTTTAAGCTAGCCCATGACTATTGAGTGGGTGGGGCTATGGTTTTCATATTTTACAGGTGTATTCCTTGTGACAAGACTTTTCTTTGGGTACCACCAAATTTGAACTCTTGACCTTGGAGTTTAACCTACTACAAAAAAAAATACCACAGTTTAACCTTGGCCATAACTTTTAAACAGTTTGAGCTAGGTTTTCCCATACTTCACATGTGTATTCATTATGATGCCTTTCAGCTTTAATATTTTTTACCTTGGCCTAAGAATTTGCCCCATTTTTTGAACAAACGTTAACCTTGGTCATAACTTTCGAACAGTTAGAACTTAGGCTTTCATATTTCAAACGTGTATTCCTTGTAACAAGACCTTCCTTTTGGTACCAACACTTTTGACCTTGACCTTTAGAGTTTGACATGCATTTGAGAGAATTCAACCCTCGCCATAAGCAGACATACGGGCCGGGGGCATCAGTGTTTCACAAACACATCATGTTTTTCTATTGGCAATTGAATATTATGACATTTATTCAACTTATTATGCATTTTCTATCCCCCTAGACATGTGCTAAGCTTCGGAGATACGGAACATATAAATATATACTTCTTCGTTAAAAGAAGGGAAAAAAGACCCTTTTATGGGTATGTTTAAATGTCAAGGGGTCCGCAAAATAAAATCTTTACGCCCGGATGATATTTTATGGGAAATTAAAATATGTAAAAACAAGTAAAATTTATCACCCAATAACTTCTTAAAACAACATTAACCTTGGCTCTTACATCCTTTATCACAAGGCAGTCTTACTGGATGATAAGCTCTGTTAAGCAATTTGACTCCTTTTTAATTTTTCCTTCAATTTTGATTTCTTTTTACATCTTATTGCATTAACATATAAATATACAAAAATATCAAAAGAGACGCACCTAAAACAAGTTTCTATACAATGGCCTTCAGTCGACTTTCTCACGCTGGGCCGTGGGGCGTTTTAAATAGATTTACAAGTCATTACACAACATGCTCGGTGGTTACTACGTTTACCCTTACCTGTCCTGCTGTATCCAGAATCTCCATATTAACGAGTTCGTCGTCTACCGTGGCGACATGCTTGTAGGTGCATTCTATAAAATTGAATAAAAGATAAATTCAAAACTGAGCTCGAATGGCTTGTATAATACATTAAATGATATTTTTGGAGATGTCAAGATAAAATTTGTGTCTAGGTCTAGTCTAACTGGTATATTGAAATCATTTGAATTAAAATTGGATCTCTTTGCCTCTAAATACTTCATTATAAATTATATTAAATTAATAGTGATCTTCCGCGTGGATGTGCCTCGCCTTACTGCATTTCCGCTTCCGATTATGTTGTAATATGTATCTAGCGCAGGCTAATTTCTCATTAATCATAGACTATTTTAACATCTCTCACACCTGACATCTTCAAGACATTTTCAGATTTTATGGCTTAAACATATTTCTTCGAGGTAAATAAAAATACATCCTGGTTTCCTGAATGATGCAGATACACAAAAAAGTTTCAAATTTTATCTCAATATATGTCTTGTTTTCCCTTAAAAAAATTCCAATTTTCATTATTTTTATTAGTCCATTTTTCAATACATTGCATTTATAATTTTTTTAAATAGATACATGAGGGGGGGTCAAGAACCCCCTGGACAGCGATGAAGCGACACACTCACCTAACGTGGGGTCGTACTCCCATATGAACCTCCGGGTTAAAAACCTTACTACCAAGGCTAAAATAAATAATACATATAAATTACAAGTGATTAATTACAAAATAAAACAATTTCACATGAATCTACGTAATAAAAAACAATAATTAATAGCCGCCCAAAGAGATGGACGTCTCGGATGCTGGCGAAGACACATAAAACGCATAATCTTTTGTGGGTAAAGGGTCAAGATTTTCTCAACTGATACATGTGAACTTTGGTTTTCTAGATATAAGCAAAATAGTGAGAAAATGCATCTTTTCTTTAATTTCTATAGGAGCAAATGGTCAAGACATCTATATTTACACAAAACTTGCATTGAAAATTGGCCTGTTGTGAAATGTCAGAGGACTTAATCCTGCAATATATACGAGTACGGTGTATGTACGGTTTATAATAACTAAAGCTATTTACATGTACTGAAGAAGGAATTGGGGAAGGGGGGGGGGGCTAATGAGACAGATAATGATCAAGGGATGCTGATGTTGTACAGAATCAAACATTTATGTTCGATCATTTCTTGTTTCTGTATCATTTATTTAATGGGCCTTTCCTGTTTTATGACCTATTAGCACTTATTAATGTGGTACGATCTATGTATCTTTGTTTATATTTCTCTATATATCAACACCAGACATCATTAACATCTTCTAAATTAAATATAGACCATAACATAGACAGTGCCATTTATCATTTACGGCGTCGAAAACTATCAAACTATCATTTTTACAGACCTCTATTTTAAGAATACTTATTAGAGTTTTTTTTTCAAAGGCAATAAAATTTTATAACCAATTATGCATCGCTTGCCCCCCCCCCCCCCCCCTCCGTAAAATAATTCCCCAATGTTTTACAGTCCTTATAATTTTAATGTCGCATTTATTGATATCACGACTGCCACATAAAGAAAATTATATCGCCAATTTAGAATCGCGTACCTCTTGACACCCAGCGCACCTTGTGGTGATGCATAGTGTGCACATGCATATATGGCACACAGCCCGTTTGATTTCAACTCAGATTACAAAAAATAGCTCACTAGACATAATGAAACTAAGGATAAAATAGCAATCAAATCACAGATTCATCTGCGTGAATTACGGAATTGTTTTGAAGCAAATTTTCTTTTTTGCGAACAATTGCCGTGTAATATCATCATTTATTATTCCATAGCAAATTCTTGTCGACCGATTTTTAAGAAGTTTTCTAGTTGATTCAAGAAATCGGTCATTTTTAATTGCTTTGTAAGAATCCTTTTCCTTTAGTTTGCTGATTTTCAGTTAAGTGGTTTCTATTGAAAAACTTTTGAGGAATGCATTTTACGTCGTACTTTGAGTCGGTCAAAATTCTGATTCATAAAAACGTTTTGAGAAAAATGACGAATTGGTTAACTACCATTTTCTTAATACTCTGAATTTATAAACGTACACGTGTTTAGAGTTCTTCCTCTAAAAAAGCATCATGTGACAGGTATAGATCCTCATTACGGAAACTGACGCAGTGTAAATTATTTCTGGATAAGCATTTAAGTCATGTCTATTCTATGTAACAACCATCATTTTCCCGCCATGTGTCCATCTAATAACTTTCCCTCGTAAAAAACCTCCCAGAAAGCTACAAGGCATTTCTCGTCCTAATCATAACGAGAGCATGTTTCCTATCAGAGAGTTCACTGACGATATTATTTTGACGGTTTGAACTAGTTCAAAAATGTATTTTTAACTCTTCATTTTTGTGTTGATGAAGTATCGACAAACGGAGAAAAAATAAGAAATGCTCGTTTTTATAAAATGCAAATATATGGCTGATTCTGAACTTTTTCAAAGCGATGCAAAATAGAGAAAATTGGTTTACAAGAATTCTAAGTGATAAAATTAACCACTCTTGGGTTATTTATCTCATTTAATTGAATGTTCAGTGATATTTCTAGCTGAAGATATTTTCAAAGGCTAGCGTATGTCCTATACACGATTAAGCTTATTTTCCCAATCTTATTTCAAAGAAAAACTTAAGACATATCTGAGATCGTTCATTGAGTAAAATTAACCAGATTGTTCCGATTGAGAAGTTCATTGTATCAATTTGAACATATGAGTGAATTCGCTTCAGATATTCTGAAGTGGCCAGGAAATCTCCGAGCGTTCGGTTTTTCTGGCGGCTTGACCTTTGACCCTTAAATCTTGCACCCAGCCTGTACTTGATTGCACGTACTCACATATTGTACGCACCAAAGGGCGTGTAGCAGAAGATAAGTAGATATATCATTAATTGAAACTGATTATTCGGTTTGCGGTGAAAATCGTTACGCCTTTCGTTTTTTTTTTTTATTACATTATAAACATTGATCCATTAATCCTGGTACAGCCACATGGCATCTTTTGCATGTGTGCCAAGATTGCAACTCTCCGTGACAAGGTTGCAAGAGTACTAAGACTTTTGCTCAGATGCTTGAAAAATTACTGCATTCGGTTCACACGGAGAGAGTTTCACGTGAAATAAATGTGAATTTTAGGCTTAAAACTTGAAGTGAATTTCAAGTAAATGCTTTCTTCTGAACTCCACATTATTTTTTTTTTTGTGGATATCACGTTGTTTTTTTCGCAAAAATTTCATAGGAAATCGCAAGAAAGGATATTTTAAATACTTAAAGGTTCGTTCAATTGCATCGAATTCTTTGTTTTCATTATTAAAGAAAAAAATTCGAATTCAATGTAGATATATTTTTCTTTCTGTGAAATCACCTAGCTTTTTTTTTTAATTAACGTAATAACACTTTCGTCATGATGCAAGGTTTAGTTTCAAATGTAGTATTATTTCTCTAACACTTTTGGATCAGAAGAGCCTGTTTATTTTCTGCAAATCTTGAATGTGCTTTTTAATGCCCTTTGTATCTCAACATATAAAATTTTCAAAGTTCAAAGAAACTTCACATATATAATATGAAAGGGTAAGTGGAAATTTAATAATATTTAATCATCGAACCAAACTCCATACTATAAACATTTCAGGTGTATTCAAAATGTTGACGTATGTGTCTTATAACCATATTTGCATAAAATATTGAAAAATGATTTCTTTTCATAATAAAAAACCTTTTAAACCTCTTGAGCAGTTAATAGCGTGAAGAGTCTACCGTTTTTATTAATCTAAACTTGATCTTAAGAATAAAGCCAATGGAAGAGGAATTTGGTTTTCTTTTTAGAAAATCATTCGGATTTTTGAAAGTCAGTCAAAAGATTTTTAATACATGAATTTTAAGCGCTCTTTTGTTAGAGGTATTTACTTCATTGCAAGTTCTAAGTTATAACGGTATCTTATATCTAAGTATGCACATTACCACATCATACATAATATGTACAGGTAGCAATATTTCATCGTTTGGAAAAAGCACCTGTATACTTGTGAAATTATATCAATTGAAGACAAGAAGTTCCAAACATGCCATCAAGTGTCTATGACGTCACCTGTTCACTTTTAATTGGTTCAAGTGTACTTTTACTTCTGTTCTCTTAACCAGTTGTTTCTTACAAGTAAATATTATTATCAATGTTTGTAAATCAATCAATGAATAGAACATACTTACCCGATTTGCCGACACCGGCTCGTCCAAGGACGGCGAGTTTGATTTCTGGTGTCGGCTTCGACTTTCCGTTTGACGTCATAGCAGACATCGGCATGGAAAATGGTCACTTATTGAAACCAAATTACAAAGAGTTTGTCCAAGTTTGGTCCTGATAAGAGTGCAAAATGTTTTGATTAAATCACGTCGTTCAGTTGTTGACAGATCGTCAGCTGGGCCCTGCGTGCTGCATTTTTGTTGATCCGAGTTACTGTCCCAAATATAAACCTTTAGATGCCACACGGTTAATTCTTAAAACCTTTCATAACCATCCTCTTGGATCAAGCTTCGACAAAAATCGTTTTTGGACACAAAACAGAGACAAGAAATTTAGCATTGTTCAAAGAATCGCCGGAAAAACAATCTAATCCGATTTTTGGATCGTCCCTTTTAATGATATACTAACTCTAATCCGCGAGTTGTCTCAAGATTCTTTAAGTTCACAAGGGGGAAAATTCCTATCTGTTTCAAGTGGTCTAAACTTAGACCAGTCTATTGTTTTGTGATGTATTTTCAGTCCCACAAATAAAATGCACTGTCCCTGTCTTCAGCTACCATGCAGGAAATAGCCTCGCTGAGTGTTACCTCCGCGGTGAAACATGCGCGTTTCAAACCATGTGATTTAAACCCTCTTTTCAACTTTCAGATATATCATTTTAAGGGAAGAACTAGCACTTTAGAGTGTGTCGTTATCAAAAAGCAGATCGATGTCCTTAAACATGCCTATTAGACTTTTTTCAATTGTTAATTGATGCACACAGTGACCTGGGAAAATATCATAAAAAGCCACCTCTCGTCACTCAAGGGGTTTAACATTAATAAAATGCTTATGGGTTAAAAGCAATTCGTCTGATATATCTACCTCGCGGAATAGTGGGAGTCCTTTGTATCTATTTTAAATCCTCACAATTTTATAAAACTTAATATCATTTAGATAGCGCATAAGTTTAAGCCATGCTGTTTGAATACAGATTTTATTTTACTTAGGATGCTAAGTACCATTTGTGCCAATGACTATATAATGAATATTTTACATATGAGTATTCAGCTAATTTTAATCCCTCGTCGCAAACCACAGTTACTTAAATGTACGATCCTATCCTATATATATAAATATTATATTTCTTTATATCTACAAGGAAAAAAGAAAACAAACAAAATAAATCAATTAAAAAAAATTATATGACCTATTTTTATTTGGGGGGGGGGGGGTGTTGCATTTCTCAAAACATTCAAGTGGTCAATTATAATTTTCTGCGTAACTTTTGAATAAAATGGTGTACCGGTATGTTCTTGTTCCTTGGTTATAGGAAAACATAAGTTCTTTGTCTCAACAATAAAAATAAATCAGTTTCATTTCAAAAAGGTACAATAATAAATCTTAGTGGCGAACCGAAAATTATAAAAAAGTTGTGGGGTGTACAATTTTTATGGATGATCCCCACAGTTAATTTCAATTAAATAGGTGTCCAGTGTGTTGGGAGATAATGTATTTTTCCCACCTGAAATCAGAATGGTAATGCTATATAAGGCTATGGTGAAAATATGGAGAGTTTATTTATCTCTTTGAAATGTACGCGCCTGACAACTTTGCAAATATCTTTTACAAAATGAAATCGGCCCATATATATAACCTTCGGAAAAGGGTTTTTTTTAGATTCAACCAATAAAAATGCTGTACGGCGACGTTCCACCAATCACGGCAAAAATGTAACGGTGAAGGAAAAAAAGAGATATTTTCAGTGCCAAACAAGGCTGCCGTACAATGAATATAATAACTACAAAACGGAATTAAAATGTGAAAAGACAAAATGATCAATAAATATGGATAACAAGAGATGTGTCTATAATAAGTAAGTAAACAATTTATCTCTGAAACTAGTAAATTTCACATGAAAATCTTGCTGAGTTGCAGACTATATTGGATAAAAATATAGTTAAGATGTCACATGTAATCAGGAATAATAACACATGAATAGTCTTTAACCCACAATATTAATTAACATAATAAATAGCAAGTAATTATGCCTGTGACATAGCATAAATAACAAGTTTGGTAAAATACGAAACTATGTGCATAGCATGCGCCGATATAAAGATGGCAGACAGAATGTAAACAAGTGGCATGGCAGCGGATAATTCAAAGTATTACAGCTTATCCACACATGTAGAACTGCTAAGATAATGACAGTTAACTCAAGAAATACATGCAGATTTAAGATGAAAGGTAATTAATTCATGACATGTAAAAATAAATACAAAATCTATTGTTAAAAAATTTTGACACACGTGGAATATCATTAATAAATGAATAGCTATTACACAGTACACAAGTTAAATTATAGACATCTGACAGGTCCTTACATAATTTTCTGCGTAACTTTTGAATGAAATGGCGTACCGGTATGTTATTCCTTGCTTCTACGTGAATTCATGAATGTTTTTGTCCAAAAAAAAAAATTGTTTCACTTTGGATCGAGCATTAAAAAGCAACGAACAGAAAAATAAAACGTTGTGTCGTATTTTTATGGTTACTTCGGCTTAACCAATGCGTTTCAAGTATGTATTGGCCGAACGCAGAAAGAACAGCCAAAGGAATGAAGAGGAGAGTTTATAATCCTTTATGTAGATTGGTATAGTCCTTTATCAGGTTTGTATTTTAATCACAACGAAACGCTACATTCAAACATTAAGAAGATTTTTTTTTTAATTTAAAAAAAAAAAACTTGACATTTCATGAATAGAAAAAAATGCAACAGATGTGAAGGAAAAAAGGTGATATTTTCATCCTCCGGAACAAGAGAGATAACCCAAATACAACGATCTACGAAACGAACCTCCCAGTGTACTAGTGCAGAAGTCTAATTTTCTTGACTTCATTTAAAGCCTGAAAATCCCAACTTTTCTTTTAGCTATTTTGTCTACCTAAAAAACATTTTTATTCACTGTGAATCAGGTTAACACATTGATATTTTCTTTAAGCTACAACTGTTTGTATAATTTATTCAGTTCAGTAATTCTACAGAAAGTTATAGAACTACATATAATAGCAAATACTTACGTTAGGGGATAAAAAAGAGAGATTTGGAAAGAGAGTAGGGGAGAAAGGAAAGAGGGAGTAAAAGATTAGGGGAAGAGGAGGGAGGGATAGAGACAGTAAGGGAGAGAGATGAGAAAATGGACAGAGAGTTTGATTTATAAATTATAAATTAAATTAATAATTCTTATCGTTAAAAAATGCAAAAAATCTCGCTTTCTCTCTCTCAACTCTCTCTATCCACCAAACTCTCTTTCCCTCAGTCACTCACTCTCTCACCCACTCACTCTCTTTAAACTCTTTCCCCACTCACACTCTCCCCACTCACACTCTCTCTCCCCACTCACACTTGTCTCTCCCCACTCTCTCTCCCTACTCTCTCTCTCTCCACTCACACTTGTCTCTACCCACTCACTTTCCACTCACACTCTCTCCCCTCACACTTGTCTCTACCCACTCACACTCTCTCTCTCCCCACTCTTTCCTCACTTTCTCTCTCTCCCTACCTCATACTCACTCTCCACTCACACATACACTCTCCCCACTCACACTCTCTCCTAACCTCACACTCTCTCTCCCCACTCACACACTCTCTCTCCCAACACTCTCTCCCCACACTCTCTCTCCCCTATCTTCTCTCACTATCCACTCTCTCTCTCTCTTCCCATCTCTCTCTCCCACATTAATACCCACTCTCTCTCCCACTCTTTAAAAAAATCTCTCTCTCCACCCACTCCCTCTCTCTCAAACGTTTGGCAATCTTTCTTTTTCTCGCACACACTCTCACTGACATACACACAAACACGCACATACAGTTCAGGGGCAGGGATGTGCTAGGTTATGTTAATTTTTAGGATCGAATATTAAAATTTGCTTTTGAGACTTTATATACGAAAATAAAATTCTAAAGTTATAGTGTTTTTGATATGTGAATGTTAATTATCGCCAAACAATAAATGAATAGATATAAATCAAACTGCAAGTATTTATTCTAACTGATCATACTGAACATTCTTGTTTGATCAATTTGCCAAATAAAATTATGATTTTTTTATATCAACAAAATAAACTAAAGAAATGTGCCTACCTATGTACAACGTTTTAGCCGAAACGCACCGATGGGAATTTACTTAACCTATTCCATTTAGACTTGTAAATAAAACTGTAAAATACTGTAAATAAAATTGTTTCTTGGTATCTTTAATATTAAACATATTAAAGATATTCAAAAATAAGAATGATGAATTGGGAAATGTTCTATACACGTAAGCAGTCAGTACATATATAACTAGATTAACTCTTATTGCAAATTTATAAATGTAGAGGGAAAAAATCTCGAAAGACAATCATTATTTATACCGGTATATGATTCTAGTTTTGTTTAAAACCTTTTATTGTGACTATATCCCCGTTTCACACAAATTCGGTGTTTTAGTATTAACAGGCCAATAGCATGTTTGTATTCTATACCGATTTCTACTCAATTGCCCGTGCCATACAACCAGTGTCTGTACAGGTCTTTTGAATGAAGTGTGAATTGATTAATTATTTAAAAATCAATTGTACCGTTTTTCTTTAACTTCCGGTCATTCTGATATTTAAACTAGCTGCAATAATGTAGCCCTCTCCCTTTTTTTCCCCTTTTTTTTCTCTATAAAATTTCAGGTTTTAAAAAAATCGGAGAGGGCTACATTATTACAGCTATCTGATAACTACCGATGGTAATGAGTATGCTGAAACCACCATTTTGTTCAATATACTGTTTTGTTTGATCTGATGGTGTATCATGAAAAGAAATCAGCTGTCAGGGCGGAGGAGGGAGAATTTTATAAAACAACATTTAAATTCATCTCTCGTCAACAATTTTATCTTGTAAACATTTTGCTATATGTGTCGAGGTTACTATGATATTACATAAGATTAAAAAATATTTATTAACATGTTCTGCATTAGAAAACTTACAAATACAAGAATGTACAAAATTGTTACTGACCATGTCAAAAAGTGAGAAAAGGTGTTGAAATTGTTTGATAATATTTGGGAAAACAATTACATGTTTAACGTATTTTTCCATCGAAACAAATTATTGAAAAACAGCATTTTCATGCATTCATTTTGATCACAAATACCTTGAAATTTAAGTTGAAATATTTATTCTAGAAGGTAAAAAAAAAATACCTAATTTACATGTTCATCATTCCGAAGTCGATACAAAAAACTTTTATTATCTGTAAATACTAGTACATTCGACTTTAAGTTGAATATTGCTTGACTTTTCAGTTGAAATACATTTAAAAAAACAATGTACCTACACCACGGCCAAAATTACATGTTTCCTTATTTGGGAGATAAGTGAAACACAAAACTTTTATTATCTGTAAATATTGCTTTGTCAAATTTCAAACACTGAAATGCAACAATCATCGTCAACTATCTGTAAACTCTTGAATACATAATTACATGAATTATGTTTGTTCGTAAATTCATTTTCAAAACTTTTTTTTTACACCTGTGCCTCATACCGGTATAGTGCATGGAGAAAAAGTTTTAAAGTTTTCAAGGAAAAC